AGTTTTATTTTAATGTCATGTGTATACACGTCTATGTTAAGTAAAAAAGAACTATTTTTCTCTACAATAAAATCACAAATTTTGAAATAAGTAAGGAGAAACATTAAATGATTTTTAATAGAATTATTCAAGTTTGCAGCTTGTAAATGTTTAAGTGAAGTATCGTGATATATTTTCGTATTCTCGATGATAAATACGATTCATTGAAAACATTTCGGCGATAAGATTCGATCGCACAAACGTCAATATAAAAGGAAATAGTGCCAAATATTGAGAGGGATTAATAATAGAAAATAGTATGACGACCTTTCCCATGAGAAAAAGACCTGAACTTCTATTTTCAAGCTTTATCATTGGCCAAACAAAACGATACGGTTTGATCGCATACATGCATTTAGAGAATAGATATTTCTTTTTGTATTTATCTTGCTGACTGTCTTTGTGTTAAAGAAAAAAAAGATTATGTCATTTTTCGAAGCTTATTCCCATTTGAGCGACAGAAGTTCGGAAATTTTCTAATATCTTTTCATTTCGCATTTTATAAAAATGTGTAAAAGAACAATGTCTGATTCAACAAGAGTTTGTAAAAAGAATAGACAAACAGTCCAACATTCCTACATGTGCTTGTCAATGAAGTTAAAATGCATCACAGCAAATTTATGGAATCTTTGATACAAGACTAAATAAACCCGAGTAAATAATTATAATTTTCAACGAAATTGCAAAAAAATTGCATTGTTCTTGTAAGAACCAAAATTGTAAATTTTCCCGATAAAAACATCGTAAAGCAGAGAGACACAATGAAAGTAAAATTAGAGAAAGCAAAATTGATTTCAGAATTCGTAACATCAAACAATATATTTTCTTAAATTATTTCTCTTCCTCGAATTGTTTGAACGGTCGAAGTATTATGAATCGACCGAACAACCAACCCATTAGTTTTTTGGTTTTAGAAACTTCTACTTTCTACTGCGTGTATTGTTTTCAGACACATAAAATATCATTTTCGTCCCGATTTTGACATATGGAAGAGACTCGGAAAAGAATTGGGAAACAAACAAAAGCAGAGTTAGGAGGACTTGTAGGTTATCCCCAAGTTGCTTTTAGGTTATGACGAGTACGCGACGGCAAATGTATACATGTCACGGATCGGGGGAAGATCGGAGTCTTTCCTCCTCTCCTTCCCCCCCCCCTTCATCTCCTTCTCTTCCTCCTCTCACTTTCCTCATTCGGATCACTCGGATAAGAAGAAAAAATAAAAATCGGACATCCGGTCCGTCGCTCACCTCGAGATCCTCGTACGTGCGGAAGGCGAGGATGGCGAATCCGTCGATAATGTCCTCCTCGAAAGGTGGCTCCTTCTGGTTGGCGGCCGTGAGGGAAGACTTCTTGCGGGGCCTCGGGGGTCGCGGTGGCCTGGGCGGTCGCGAGTGGCCGTCCCGTGGGTGACCGGTCTTGGCGCCGAGTCCGAGGCCACCGCCACCGCCACCGCCGCCACCACTGCCGCCACCGCCGCCGCCGCCGACGCCACCGACGCCGCGCGGGGTCCTCGTCCTCGCCGCTGTGGCTATCCTCCTCGTCGTTCGGCGGCCGTTGCCGCGACTGCTGCGACTGTTGCTGCTGCTGTTGCTGCTGCTGCTTCGCGGTGGCCAGGCTCTCTCTTTGCGCCAGCATGCGCTGCGCCCGCTCCCGTCGGCGATTCTTCTGGCTACGCTGCTTCGCCTCGATCTCCATCTTCGCGCTATCTCTCCACCTCGGCACTTAACTTGAGAACGTCCGTCGGATCGCGAACACTCGCGGCACAGCTCGATGACAATCAGCACCGTGTTACACGGACGGCGTGGAGGAAGGTGACGAGGGTAGTGGTGACGACGATGACGACGGGAATGACAAAGGGAGCAGCACACGAGCAGACGACAGCGGCGATGGTCGTGGCAGCGTTGTCGTCGTCGTACATCCTACGGTCGTCTAGACCGATGGGAAGAAGAGAGCCGAGAGCGAGAGGAAGAGAAAAGCGTGGCAGGGGAAGAGGGAGAGAGAACAAGGGAGGAAGAAAGGAAGACGATGTGGACGATAGGGCGCGCAGAGCACTGGAGGAGCGAGAGGATGTGGTAGGGAGAGACGGGGGGGAAAGGGACAGGACAGAGAGGAGAGAGAGCACACCGCGCACTGCCTCGGGATACGCACTCACGAGACGTTGCCGTCGGCACGCACTGTCGCACGCATACACCGTGTGAACTGTACGTACATGCACGGTTAGGTCCCCCGCGATATGTGTGTGTGTGTGTGTGTGTGTGTGTGTGTGTGTGTGTAGTTACTTCCTCGGTC